AGCAGAACGAAAAATTTGTCCGTCGTACGAGAGCGGACGGACCGGAACGACGGGAGATCGATGGAAATCGGTGCCACGTACGACGTATTCTCGCGTGTGCCGCTTTCCTGAAACGCTCCGAGGGAGAGAAAACGAGAAAAGGCGCCTCGGATCTGCGATCTAGGCTGATGGGCATTCATCGCGTCGTGACGCGATTCGTCTTGGTGATCCGACAAATTCCACGAAGCGCAATTTTCCAGAGAAATCGCCGTTTAGCGACCATAATCGAAACGTAATTTTAATACTGTAAAATATTTCTAATTGTCATCATTCACAGTCGTGAAAAGTTAAATCGATAACACACTTTAACAATGAGAAATCGAATACACTCAGGACCATTAAAAATGATAGACGATGATTTCACGAGAGTCGACGATCCCGATGGCCATTTTCTTTCCTCGTTGACCAAGCTCGTTTTCTATCCGGAGCATAAGACCCATTGGTGGCGGTCGTTGTGCATACGGCAAAAACGACGTTAGACGTTCACCCTCTCTTCGATTCAGAAGCCCACTAATGGCGCGTCCGCAAAGTCGAATGGGGCGGCTTGCGAGCTCATAGAACGAACGGCGGGTGGCTAGCGGAATAACGGAATGGCTAACGGGAAACGTCCCTCTGATTGCAGTTAATTTACTCGCTGAATCGGGTTAATGTAGCGTACCAGTCGTACCGTGCTGCGCCGTGCGGTTCCGTACGGCGACGTATCGGTGTCCCGGCGAAAGAAAATGGTTTCCTCCGTCAGAGTATCGTTCATCGTGCTCGGCGACTCAGACGGAATCCCTTTTAATCGCGCAATAATTTCTTACACAATTAATTTAACTTCGCAAACACATTATCTAAATACAAATCAACCGGTTTTAATAATCGAGACGGAAAAATTACAAATCGTGAAACTGTAATTGGAACAAATTCTAAAAATATTACAATTTATCATTGGCACGTAAAAAGTGTCTGCGAAAAAAAAAACGTATTAAAAAAATATTATATTATGATAGCAATATTTCATTTGGAATATATATACTACACAGTTTTCCGTGTGACAGGTCGTTAAAATCTTATTTGACTTTAGATACTCGTCGATACGTTGATGCACATATGTAATCCAGCTGCACTGGTATTTTCACGCGCGATCATCCGCCCACAGGCTGTCATCGATAATGTAATGTCGTTTCTCGTCGTCGCAATCGAGCGCGCGTCACGGGATCAGGATCGTGATCGACAACCCACGCTGCGTTCCGTTTTAGCATGAGACAAGCATACATTTTGCATAAATAAAAATCAACAATATCCCTCATTCAAAATATTTTATAAATAATTTTATGCAACTGTGAAATACATTCCTCCGTCGATTTATACGATTAACATTCTATTGTAATAACTGTGGCTTTGACATTATCATTGTGATGAATGAGTATTAACTGTGTTAATAAAACTATCGGGCCATCCACACGTCTTACATATGACGAGAATATGACGAGAACGGATATTCGCCGATCAAAGCGTGCACAGTGGCACAGAAATCCACCGGCATACATACGCATGAGTGCGTTCATTCACGCGTGCCCTCTACGACGCGTTTACGAGGACGCGCTCTCGGCGCGCTGGAACAGGCGCGGCGGACGTCGACGGCGGCTGCGGCGACGGGGGTAAGAGCCATATCGTCCGCGTGTTGATTTACGCGGCGTACCGCGCATTTTTACTACCGCGTTATAAAGATTTAAGTGCGGCCAATTATACGTTTATGCCGTCTCCATGCTCGCGCCCGCCCTCCCTCGCTCTTCCGTCTCCGTTCAACGGCGCTTCCGACCAACGCGCACGAGTGCCCGGAACGACGCGCCCGGTTTCTTTCTTTTGACTTGTCGCAGCTATACTTAGCGAATGGAGAATGGGCGAAGCCTCACACACGCCGGCGATAATCTATTTCGAGAGAGCGAGCTCTATCGCGCGCGCCATTCTCAAAATCAGAAATACGACTCCGCGCTGGAAATATATTGCGGCGATAACGGTTAATATAGACTTCCGTTTTAAATTAAAAGTACTTGCTTGGAGAAGGAGATGAATGGCGCGTAATCAAATTTCTAGCCATTGTTAAATACGTTGAACTCGCGTGAATATTCTCTCATATTTACATTTTATTTTTGTTCGTATAACACCGATTCATAAATATACTCGATATAGAATTATGCAACTCACTAAGTTCTAAAATATTTGGAATCTTCAAGGAAATCGATAAACGCCAATGATCGAGTTGAGATAGAACGTCAAACGGAGAACATCTTCCTCGAAGACGACGAGGCCGCAGCCTCTATTTAGGGTGGCCGCGCAAACTGTCGAAATAACCGGCGCATATGGCCGCCAAAAATAAACTCCTCCTTATTCCCATCCCGTCGAAGCAGAGAACCGCGCTCATCTCTCTTTCTCTTGCCTTCTCCCTCGCGCTCTTTTGGCTGAACGCTTCTCGTCTTCTCCCGCCCTTCCTCGTCAGCGCTTCTTCCAACTACACGGATCCGCTTCGAACTCCTCTTCGTGTCGCATACGACTTTAGACGCGAGCTCGAGAGTGCGCGACCCTCAGGCACGAGCGTGTAGGTAGAAGACACACCGGATACCGAGACATTTATTTGTTGCCACGTCGGCTACGCCACGCGCATAAGAAAAGTTGTTGGACGAAGGGTGAGAAAAAAATAAAGGAAACGAGGAAAAGCTGGAACGCCTCTTCGAGTATCACGTTTCGCGGTCACAGAAGACGACGCACTGCGCGATCGTCAGCTTCAAGCTTTAAGATATGGAAGAAAAATTTTCTAGAAACAAACACCGCGAGAACTATAAATCAATCTAGAAAAATACAAAAGAAAGAGCCGCATCAACTTTTCCAAGTTAACGAAGCCCCTCGCCGTGTGATTTCGCGAGGCGGAGAATCGCGGGGAAGGTCGTTGCACCAAAACACGCCGGCTCCTGGCTCGAGTTGATCCAAGAGTCTCGCGAGCGGCCTCGTCCGACAACCGCGGGGGTAGGAATCTCTTTTCGACGATTCCCAGACTATTTTTGACGATGAAATGTGGCTCGCCAGCGGGTGTTCCTCGCTGCGTCGTGCCGCGCGCGCGAGAGAATCGTCGCGGTCGATTTCACGAAGCACGCGTATCCGTGCATCTGCGCGGCGCGCACGAGAACGCCGCTTAATCCGGGAATCTGCTTAACCGGGAGATTAATCGGCGATTGTGGGAGAGATGAGGCGCGATGAAGAACTCTCTCAGAGGCGACGGCGGCGTCGGCGGTGCAGGGAGATCGTCGTATCTCGTGAAGCCGGTGTGAAGCGGACTTTGTGGAAGTTTGTCTTACAAATGAGCCGCGCGACGCACATAATTTAGTGGCCGCGGGCATCGCGATGGCAGCGTTGCCCGAATTCAGTTGCGCGGCTCTTTAAGATAAAGTTTCAGATAGAATTGTAATTTTTCTTTTCATGTATTCATTTTAATTATTCAATCTTTCCTACGTTAAAAAAAAAGAAATTTTGCACCAAACTTCAATGTTTTCAATCAATTTATAATATCGATCTCTTAATAAGTTAAGTACTAGTTCGAAGAAGTTATGATAAGTTTCTACGTCCATTAACGTTAACGCTGAAACATTGTAGTCGTTAACAGTAGCGACATACTTCATCATAAATGAAGATTTAAAGAGTTCGAGGCAACAGATTTATCGATTTCAACGAGATGAGAATCTTAGACTCTCTCGAATCTCCGTAACCCCAATGACGC